CGGGCGTGGTGCCGGTGCTCAGCGCGCACAGCCCCTCCGTGGGCAGCGAGTACTTCATCCGCCTGGAGGAAGCCGCGCCCGCTGCCGGCCATGACCCCGACTGCGCTGGCTGCGCCCCCAGCCCCCAGGCCGCAGCCCCCGTCTCCCAGGGCAGCGACCGCGGTTCCGACGGCTGCGTGGCCACCTCCCTGGCTCTGGAGCCGCCGCTGGGCCAGGTGCCATTCACCGAAAGCCGCCAGGGCCATTGTGACTACTGCCCGAGCAGGACCCGAGCCCAGGACCCGCCCCGTACTTCGCGCTCGCCTCCTCCGGAGGCCCTGACGCTGGTGGAGCCCGGAGTGGAGGACACCAACTGGGGCGTGGCCACCTTTTGCCCTCCTTTCTTCGAAGACCCGCTGGGCACAGCCCGCTCCGGGACTTCAGGGGTGAGCCGGTCCCTGGAAGAGGAGGAGGAGCCGGGGGAGGTGGAGGCGCACAAACACTGGAGTTGCAACGTGTCGGCCAACAACAGCAGCCGCGGCCACAGCCGAGCCCCGGAATCCTGGGCCCCGGACCACGCAGGCAGCTATGCAGACCGCTGCCCTGGCAGGAAGCACACCGTTTGGGCTGTCCCTGAGCTAGGCCACCCCCTGGCCCCAGAGGACCCCAGAGCGCCTCTCCTTGGACCGGAGGGGACCTCGTTTGGCCAGGAGCCAGGCTGTTGCCTTGGCTTCCCCCATCTGTGTCCTGCTGAGGGCCTAGCACCTGCCACCAGCCTGGTGACATCCCCCTGGACAGAGGCAGCCGTATGCGGGGCCAATAGCCCTCAGACAGAACCCAGGCTTGCTGAGGAGGCCGAGGGCTCCGCTGGACCCCAACTGCCCCTTCCCTCCATCCCATCCCCATCCCAAGAGGGAGCCCCACTTCCCACGGAGGAGGCCATTGCCCCCACCACCCTGCCCGCCTCTCCCACACCTGCCAGCAGTGGAACAGCTGCCACCTGGACAGCCCAAACCCTGGACAGCAGCAGCAGCTCCCGGGAGCTGGAGGCTCCAGGCAGTGAGGACGAAGACACCACTGAGGCCACTTCCGGTGTCTTCACCGACCTGTCCAGCGACGGCCTGCAGGCCGAGAAGCTAGAGGTGATGCCGGCCTTCCGCTCCCTGCAGAAGCAGGTGGGAACCCCCGACTCCCTGGACTCGCTGGACATCCCATCCTCGGCCAGCGACGGTGGCTGTGAGGTCTTCAGCCCGTCGGCTGCTGGCCCCTCTGGAGGGCAGCCCCGCGCCCTGGACAGCGGCTACGACACCGAAAACTACGAGTCCCCTGAGTTTGTGCTCAGGGAGGCGCATGAGCCTTGTGAGCCTGAGGCTCTCGGGGAGCTGGCCATGGAGAGTGAGAGCCTGGGGGCCCAGACTCGGTTCCCCACCTCCCCTGGCGGCCTCAGCGAGAAGAACCCCTACCGAGACTCAGCGTACTTCTCCGACCTGGACGCTGAGCTCGAGACCCCCGTGGGCCCTGAGAAGAGGGGTGGCGGTGTCTGGGCCCCTGGGCCAGAGCCAGACCTGGACAGCCCGCACGGCCCTGGGCTGCAGCTCTCCTCTGAGTCTGGGGTATCTGGGGTGCCTGGAGAGGTGCAGAGCCCCAGCCCTGGGGAGGTGCCCCCACTGCCACTGGGTGAGGACTCTTCCTCTGAGCCATGCGCCTGTCCCACGAGCCCCAGGCCAGAGCCTCCCCGGCTCCAAAGCCCGGCCCAGGTGCTGCCACTGCCCAGCCCCCAGCGTTCCAAGGTTTTCCTGTTGACCCCCGTCCCGCCCGGCTCGGAGAACCACCGCCCAGGGCTCCAGGAGGCCAAGGGACTGCTGTCGGCCCTGCCCACAGAACGGACAGAAGGCCCAGGCACCCCCAGGACCCCACTGTGCCTGGCCCTTCCGGGACTCCCTGCAACCCCCGAGAGCCGGCCGGAGGAGGAAGAGGAGGACAGCGAGGACAGCGACGAGTCGGACGAGGAGCTCCGCTGCTACAGCACGCAGGAGCCCAGCGAGGAGAGCGAGGAGGAGGCCCCGCCTGTGCCCGTGGTGGTGGCGGAGCGCCAGAGCGCGCGCAGCCTGCGCAGCCTGCTCAAGATGCCCAGCCTGCTGTCTGAGGCCTTCCGCGAGGACCTGGAGCGCAAGAAGAAAGCCGTGTCCTTCTTCGACGACGTCACCGTCTACCTCTTCGATCAGGTGGGCGGCGCCTGAGGCTCTGTGCGTGGGTGGGGGTCCCCCGCAGGGCGGAGAGCGGTGGGAGTGACCAATGTTGGCGGACCGGATCACGCGCTTCTCTGACCCTCCAGGAAAGCCCCACCCGGGAGCTCGGGGAGCCTTTCCCCGGCGCCAAGGAGTCGCCCCCTGCGGTCCTGGCAGGCAGCCCCAGCTCCCCCAGCTTCCCCAGCCGGCCGCGACGGGCTGAAGGCTCCCGGGACGGCTTCGCGGCTGAAGA